AAGAGTTGTATGAGCCCCTAATAAAACAATTTAAAAAAAAAAACCATAGTTAAGCATTTGGCTTAATCATCGACCTGCAAGGTCAACAGTTTGAAACCACCAGCCACTCCAAAGGAGAAAGATGGGCATTCAGGAGTGCTGGTGGGGTAGTAGTTACAAGTTGGGCTGATCCACCCAGTTGGCAGTTTAAAACCAGCAGAAGCTCCCTTATGAGAAAGATTGGGCTTTTAATTCCAGTAAACAGTTAAGGTCTTGGAAACTCGCAGGGTGTCAACATGGGTCAGCAGTGACTCAAGGGAAATGAGCTTGATCGTTTGGTCTACTCCAGTAAAGAGTTACAGCCTCGGAAACCCACAGGGACCATTCTATCCTTTCCTATAGGGTCTCTGAGTTGGCACTGACTTAATGGCAATGAGTTTGATTTTGGGGGTTTTAAGACTCTCTAATCCTTATTTACACTATCCACGCTAGGTATCCATACATTTTGCTACAGAAATACTGTAGCAAATACTAAGAGGTACGTTGGTATTATTTTAGTAAAATTCAAACCTACTTCTTACTTGCATCAAATCTAAGTTTGGCTTAGGGAGTATGACTTCTGTAATATTTCACAGTGGTTCTTCCTTCAGCAGCTTATCACCTTCCTGAACTATTCTCAAGTCTGGACCTTATCGATGCACCAATAGCATATGACTGCCCTTTGACTGCTCATTCTAACACCAATCAGTCCTCACAGCCTTCCAAGAGCCTCCCAGAGTCACAATTCAACCAGACTCCAGAATAAGGTCAAGGCCATTCACAGCATGGTCCCCAGCTCCTCTTCTACCATCCTGGCCTTATTTCAGGCCACTCTGATCCCCAAAATATCCCCCAAATAGAGATCCATCATGAAAGACTTCCTCTACCAAAGCTTTTACCAATTTGCGAGCTTACACTCAACGGCAAGGTTGGTGCAGGACTTATTCATCTTTGTATCCCCAAAAGCCAATGCAGCTCCTGGCACACAGTAGGTACCCAGTCCATGGTTACTGCATGACTCATGCCACAAAGCAAATTGCCACATACCAGGCCGCTCCACTCACCTCATCCTTCGGTAGGCCTTAATAATCATCTCCACTGGTCTGCTCTGTGACAGTTATTTAGAATAAGTTTTTAAAAAATAAAAAAACAACTCTTGATAAACCGATTGATGCTAACCAAAAACATATTCCTAAAAATTCTCTGAAACCAGTAGAGGGAATATCTATCCATAGATAGTCTAATACAGTAGACCCAACCACAACAAAGCAGGGTGGATAGAGAAGGGCAGCAAAAGCTCACTGCTCCCTTTCAGTGATCCTCATGTA